TCATGCGCTCATCATTGTTATTTGTATAGTCTAAGACCTTAGTTTTGAATTGACGTAAAAACCTTTGAAGTTCTGAAGGTTCTCCACCAAATTTCTTTATATCAACTGCTGGACGTTTCAAGTGCTGGAGTAAACCAAAGGAGCCTAACTCTGAAGAGCTGTTATGTTCAGGTGAAAGATTTCTTGATTTTGAGGATGCATAGCTTCTAGTAGTAAGGGGAGTTTCATTGTATTCCAGGCGCTGAACTGGTGTCACATCGTCAAGTTGCAAGTGGGGTGTTGGTCTACGAAAGTGATATGGAGTCTTTGGAGTGGTACCAACAGAGGAGACTTTAGGAGGTTCTTCATCAAGATCTATCACAGAGGTCTTGGCAGTTGCAATTGATATAGCTGTATCCAATTCCAGTTGTTCTTCTTGCAATTGCAATTCAAAACATTGACGAGCTAATTCGTGCTTGCGAACAAGAATTTCCTTTCGGCTTAAAAGTTCATGACGCTCACGATCAAACTGATCTTTTAATGTAGATAAGTCTTTATCATCCAAATCTGTTTTAGACTGATTTTCAACAGTTTCAAGATTATTTGCCTCACTGCGACTGTTCATTGTCAATACACTGCTAGTGAACAAATTTGTTAATAATATTAATGTCAGGCAAAGCGATTTATCGCCAAACATCAATCTGCCACATTGACAATGGGAACTGGGCATTTGATTGTTAATGCATACGTGTACGAATGAAAGATTACCACTTAATATTAGAAATAATGTTCTTTTCTTGTAAAAGTTCAAATAAAGTTTGATAACAACTATTTAGTCGTCTATTACATAGTATTCATTCAACAGAACTAATAACGTTCCATACAACCACAAATTTACAGCATAGGTATACGTACATACGTACGACATACGACGTACGATTAACTGAAATGATAAATTAGATATATTCAAGTGAACGAATGAAATGACCACCTTATGACGAATATTATAAAGCTCTAGGCTTACATATCGAAAGAACGAAGCGAAACGAAACGAAAAGAAGTAGGACTCCGTGCACTGAGCCTAAATCTTGTATTATATTATTATGCTTTACTAACTCTGGGCAGACAGCGAAACGAAATCCCGTGCAATGAGTAGCAAGACAATAAATCCACATTATGACATAATATCCACAAAACGAAGAAACGAAATGGCCCCAAATGGGCTTACCTACGAAGCATAAAATATCAACAATGAACGAATAGGCCTATTACAACAAATATGCATGACAATCACATATAAAGGTTCAAAAATGAATAAATACCAAATTTGTTGTCCACCACGGTTCATAAAACTAAATTCTTGTTATTTAACAAGACGAAATCGAGCGAAGAATTAAAAATAAATATTCGGGAAAGCATGTTAACCATAAAACGGAAGTAAGTTCGTTATGACCAGAAGATAAGTTGGGCAATGTCCGTTTTGCGCTCTACAGTATGTGTATGTTGTAGTATATAGTATGTGTATGGTGTAGTATATAGTATGTGTATGTTGTAGTACATAGTATGTGCATGGTGTAGTATATAGTATGTATATGGTGTAGTATATAGTATGTGTATGGTGTTGTATATAGTATGTGTATTTTGTAGTATATAGTATGTGTATGTTGTAGTATATAGTATATGTATGGTGTAGTATATAGTATATGTATTTTGTAGTATATAGTATGTGTATGTTGTAGTATATAGTATGTGTATGTTGTAGTATATAGTATGTATATGTTGTAGTATATAGTATGTGCATGGTGTAGTATATAGTATGTGTATATTGTAGTAT